AGGATGCAACATTCTAAATTTGCAGTCACAAAGAACATACCGTACTTTACCTAAGAAGACAGCAGTTAAAAACAACATATGCATAGGCATGACTAATATTCTTTCCAAGGTCATAAACTTGCTTATTTTGTTCAAGCTTTCAAATTTCAAAGCCACAGATCTCTGCAATCTCTCACTATACTTGCATACATAAAAGTTGCTACTGAGAAAATTCATTGTCTCTATTCCAACATTTTTAAATACTGAACCTATTTCCAATTGCTAATTCCAGTTGCTAAAGAAAAGTTCCTGCATTATCACAGAGATATTAAAAAAAAACAACCCACAAACAAATCACCAAACCAAAAGGTGCAAACCTCATAACAAACTGACCAAACAGTAGCAAGAACACAGAGCGTGTCTAACACAGTAACATAAATCATCATCCCAAGGCTCAAGGTATCATTTACTACTGCAGTGTTACATACAAGAGGGCAGAGAAGGGAATGTGAATCGCTATTTCTTGAAATCCACTCAGGGAAACTGGCACGTTTCTGTGGCATGCCTCTCAGAAGGAAGGGTGTTGTGACCCACATCACCATTAGCCAATTTTTTTATCTTTACCCTTGTATATGTTTTTGTAAACTTCAGCTTGGCAGTGAGAAATCCTGACAGTTGCTGGTTAAGTACGGGTGCAAAATAGTTGTAGAGTTACTGCAACATGGCATACATCGATTCTGTTGGATGGGGAATTTTATTTACTGAAACGTAGAGAGATAGATTTCATTTTGCATTTGAGAACGCATAAATTCTAAGCCACTTACACCGACTTTTTTTCAATACCTGTGTTTCTGGTGTTTCAGACCACTAGTTTTCCTGAACACATATAGGTAAAAGGTTATTTGTAGAACACTGATCTCCAGTGTATCAATAACATAAGCAGCAATTCCCAATTTGTCCTACTGCATTACTTCCTCCACCACTACAAGCAGCAGTAAAACATAGCTACAAATACATTTTCAAACACTCCCAGCATGACTCTTCCCTTTAAGCTGTTCCCATTGGCACAGAGACATACCTCACAGCACACAAGCCGGATGGAGAGACATGGTGAACCACACCATTAAAAGAGAACCTCTGTTCGAGGCCGTTGCGTGGAATGGAGGAGGTCACTAACGCTACCAACATGAGTTTCACCATCAGGAGTTAGCATTAACTTGCATTATACAAATCAAAAATACACAGTCAATGCTCCTTTGTTTGAGGTACTCCTAGGTAATGGAGCAACCCAGACATGCATTACTTTTGCATATTTTGGGACATTAGACACAATTAGTTGTGCAAGCAGGCGGCTTCAGCCTTCCCTCTCTGCAGCCCAGGGACACAGCCCGTCTGCAGGCCACACGCATTCAGAAGGCTCCGGTGCAAGCTGGTACCCCGAGCCAACCCAACACTCAGCCATGCTGGCGTCTCTGTATCATGCCTGAAGCCCAACTCAGGCGTTCAACCCGACCAGGCACACAACGGGCTGGCGTGCAGGAGGGCTTTTGGGTCCCGCTCCAAACCACGCAGCGATACATCTGTATGGGACTTTCAGACCCATGCTGGCTCTGACAGCAGGGAAGAGATCTGCCTTTCTGGGGATCTGCAATTTAACTAACGACCCCGCTGAGCTACAGACAGCTTGTGCCTTCCTATCCACATATACAATATACTTACCTGCAAACTAGATAAGCCACCGATACACGGAGGATTTGCTGTACATCAATGACCGTGGTAATTACAGCTTATTTATGGCATGTTTATTACATGTAGAAAGGAAGAGAGCCACAGCAAATCCAAACATCCATTACTTCAGCAGTTATTACGCACGCAGTTACGCTGCAGAAAATTAAATTTTACCACAGTACAAAGATGTGCTTCTTAATAAAACGTCAAGCAATCATACGAGTTACAATAGAGCATATTCCACGTAGCAGCCCCTTCTCACAGCAATTAGCTATGAAGTATCCTTTAATTGCTCACTTTGAAACATGGCTCCCCCTGCTTTTTTTCAAAGAAGAAAAAGAAAGCAATTAAAATCTTTAATGAATGCCTGCTGCCTGCCCCCTAATTCATGGGCATTCTAATGTTCAACTTGTGTCTTTTCATAATAGACATAATTGCCAGATCCACTGCAACTCATCTATACAGAACGGCAGCATGTTTTACACAGTGTACTGTAATAATGTAATTGGTGTGATTCAATACTAGCATTAAGAGAGAAAAACAAATGCTATGTGTGTAAGATTGACAACAAGCCTCTGAAATCACGCAATTGATGCCTCTACTGCTAAGAGCTGGGAAATATTTAGCCCATGTCCTCTGGATCTCCATTCTGGCTGTTTTGCCTGTACTGCCAACAAAATGAATGAATTCTTTGCAATGGCAAGAACCAATTCACATGGAAGAGGCTACTGACTTTTCACCTAAGTTATTGATGATCTAACACATAAAAAGAAAATATTCAGGGTTGACTGCAAAGCTGCTGTGAAAATCGGAAGCAGGTGGAACAGAGAGGAAACACCATACTCCAAGTACTCCCAAAACTGCTCTTACAGAGATACCATAACTTGCTCCACTTCAGACCAGAAACACAGCGAATGGAAACTTACTGCCTTGTCAACTGTGTGGCATGTGTCTCATTTCTGGTAGGCAACAGATCACAACTTACTGGTATCCCATTCAGACGTCTCGGCAAAATAGCCCTTTATTATTGGCTATCAAATAAGAACATATAGTTATATCTTATCTCTCCACAAGTATATTTTAACATCTTGTACTGTAGCAGAACTAATTCTGGAAACATCACTTAAAGCAAGACAGACATACCCCCCCAGCCAAAACAGCCCAACAACCCTACACAAAAGAAAGAGAGAGGGAGAAAGCAATTACGTTGTTTACTGATACTGTCTTGGGTAACAAAAGTCATATATTTGCTATCAGTAATCTGCATTCAAGAAAGCTATCTTCCAAGAATTTGCATCCTCCTTGCAAGTTCAGAAACAAGACTTCCTACTGCAAAGCAGAAGAAAAAAGCTCTCTATCCCGTCTCCAGCAATTCACATTAGAACTATTTATTCAAGAGGCAATTTACAGAGGTGGTGTGTTTCCCACTAGAAACAACCTGCAATCCACCCTTGCAGGTCCCAAACACGTAGCTTTGCCCTGTAGACCAGTTAAAGAGACCATCAGGCTTGCTATTGTAAGCACAGGCCACAATTTGGCAGGAACCAACAGCGCAGGCAATCCTGTTCCCAGTTGTCTCTTTCAGCTGCCATAGTCCGATAGCCCTCAAGAAAATACTCATGATGGTCATCCAGCTGTTGTGTATCACTGGGCTTGGTGTTATTCAAAAAAAAAGTATCCTACGAAAGCAACAAGATATTCTTCTCCCTTGCCAACCCATTTGTTGGACAGCATTATTTTATAAAGCTAGGAACTGTAGAGTTAACAGGTCTTAATTATTTCTGTGCTTAAAAATACATGGGTTTAATCTTACTCTGTTAAAGGCATGCTCACAGCCATGAGTTTGCTCTCACCAGCAAAAAGAACAGGACAAGTCCCAGTATCTTACTTCCCCCCTCACCATCTGTTCTGTGCTCTCAGGCTCTCCAAGGTCAAATCGCCTTTAGGGATTCAAATCAGAGATAAGATGTGGATGACATTTCTAATCTTTGTTACACAGGCACAGAATTTATTAGTTTTGGATACAAGGAGCTTCATTTTCAGTATGAGTGAAGTGAACACAGAGCCAAAAAAAATAATCCATGTCACCTGGTATGTTTGGTGAACTGCACCAGCCAGAATTCCCAGTTGTAAAAGCCAGCATTGCCAAGGGCTGAATAAAGGGATTTTACTGTACCTTGGACCTCAGATTCAAGAAGGCAAGGTTTCTAAGGGCAAACAAAGAACAATTTTTTTTCCCCCCCTAACCTCAAAAGTAAACACAAAATGTAATAGAAAGTGTTCCATTCTCTCTGAGAAACTTCTGGCTGACTTTAAGGGGCAGTGCAGTCAACTCAGAATATTCCCAAGAATGGCTATTCAAATAAACAAAACTGCAGCTAAGGGTTAGTCCTGCCAGACCTTCCTTGCCTTCGCCCCGCAGTACAAAACGCCAGAGTCCCTGATGGTAGAACCAGTGCCATTCCCACTGGTAGCGTGACGCAGAGAAACCACACCACATTAAGTCACAATATGCCCTCAGTTCTCCCCACAAACACAGCACCACTGGTCTTGATGGGTTAAATGCAATAAGAGGACTAGTGGTTTAAAAATAGGCCAGTCCATTTTTTCCAACATGTGGTAGGAACACATCATTCTACACAGTCTGAGCTTGTAAAGGCTGTCACCAACTGGCCTTCTCCTTGGTCCGAAGGAGAGCATTTTCCTCCTCTCACAAACACAGCCCATCCGTACCATAACTCAGGCTGTGCATAAGGAATGAGAATTTAGCCAGGAGGCCACAAACCCCCTAAAGACAGCCCTGACTGTGGTAATCTTCAGGCTGCCTGATTTGCTTCACTAGATTCCTTCGTGAGAACTCCACAGCCAACTACTGTGACTAAATAACAGCTGGCATGGAGGAGGAGCACTTGCCAAACTCAACAACTGGGATGCTTTTCATTGTTTACTGAGATGCCTGAGCTTATGAAAACAGGTTCCCATTTTCAACAGGACAGAAAGAATACAGGAGGCAACTCAGGAGAATGCCATGAGCAGAGAGGCCTCAACTTTCACTGTAAGTCTTAATATACCCACAGAAGCATCTTCAAAGCTAAGACAGAGGCTACCACGTTATTTGGCCACCTGAAAAACTTCCACATACTTAGGCTCAGAGACAGAGTGAAATACTGAAGGAACCCTTAATTACCCCTTTAGAAATATTCTCATTTCATCCCACCAAAACACACAAAGTGGTTCCCTTCCAATGCAAGGTAAAGGGATAAGAAGAAAAGCTGGGGCAGCGTCACAAGCCAGAACCCAGCAAAACTAAGAGTCAGAGAGCTCACAACACCTTAAAGGCGATTTCTTTTATCCTTTCCCCCCTACAGGAAGAGTTCTTTTGACCCTGTAACATCTTCTGGGGAGTTGCACAGATCCTGGTGAAGTACGTGTTAGAGTCACTGTAGGAAGGCAAGACAAACAGAAAAATAGAGTGAATTTCAGCAGCAAACTACCTAGCACTGATCTACTCCCTCCCTGTATGGCTTGGGCAGGGGGAAAGGTGTTCCAGATGTATACTTCTTGAAAAAGCTACCATGTCTCCTTTTTCGTCAAATTTATCACATATTTACTTTGAGGTACTGCGATGATTTATGCTCCTCCCCAGCACATCTTTGCTCTGTGTCCCCTCCACATGCTGACAATTCTTCTGTCCCTCTTCCCCTTGAGTTTTGTCCCCCTTGAGCTCATTTTGGAGTGGCAAAAGTCAGGAACAGGCATGTGGAGCAGCTGTTGGGCTTTACAGTCCTGCAAGAGAGTTATAATGGCATGGTTGCTTCTTCATCTCGTTAAAAAGTCAGACAGGGAAAGTACCTTTCTGGTGAGTTTTGCTCAGACAGAGCAATCAAAGTGTCAGAGAAGCTGGACAGCATCCAGCAAGCCAACCTAATTGTATACTTCCGTTTCATTTTAAGGGGTTCATAATTGTAAATACTGAAAGAGTGCCTAATCCAGCCAAAATCCTGGAACACCAACTATGTTGCTTACTGACCTACAGAAACATATCATGATCACTTGCCACTGACACTCTCTCCAGGAAGGAAAATATGTTTTATTCAGTTGTTAACATTATATCGTTAGGGAGACCTGAACTGGAAATCTGCTTCTTGTTAACTCATTTTCCATGAGCTTCAGCAAGTTTTAAAAAACCAAACAAAAATCTTCAAACAAACTAACCACAAACCTGTACATGAGAAAACTCACTAGCCTACAACAAAGCTGTCATAGAAAAGATGTCTCCTCATAAATTAAACAAAATTTCCCCTTCTTAGTACCATAACAGTAAAACTACAGGAAAATATTTATGGATTGCAAACATATGTAAGAATCAGATTGCTCCCTCTGTCCCTTCACTTCAGAAGCACATTCCTGTGGTTGCTAAGTGCGTTTCTATACCCAGCAGTATTTCTATACACTTGTCCCCTATTTTTGTTAAAACAAACTCATAGCAAGCCTATTGCTAATGCAAGAGGAAGGCTCAGATGTTCCATTTCCCAAAAAACAGAAAGACAGTTATGGTTCCTGCAGCACTCAAATAATCAAAGATCCTGTAGTAGAGTGCTTTATATGCAGCAGATCAAAATGCATTCCATCTACCTCCAGAAAGTTCCTGTACGTAGAAGACAGCACTTCAGCAAACACAAGCTTACTTATTTAGCCTTGAATTCAGCACAGCAGTCCAGCTCCTATCAACACCATTTTCACATTGCTTCATCCCTGATTTAGTTATAGAATCAGTTTGCCATTTTATGCAATATTGGATGAAACAGGGATAACTTTCCTTCACCTCTGTAGAGCTCAGGGTCCCACAAGGCCTTTCTCACTGCAAGCCCAGCCCCAGAAAGGGCTGAGGCAGCCAGTACTGCTGCTGCTGCAGGCCCCTGGTCCTCCTCCCCGCTTGCATCAGCCATGACAAGCCACGCTGACATGAGTTCTTCTGATTTTAATAAAAGTGCATGTGATGTTCTACAAGCCCTCACTCCTGGAGTGTCCACTTCCAATTACTAAAAGCCCTTCTAACTGCAGAAAAGCCCTTGAAAACACAAAGCAGATGTACTGTACAAGCTTAATCTAGAAAGCACTAAACAGGACAAAGTATAGTAACTCAGATGTTAGTGATTTTTTAAGTCAATTTAATATTTTGGGGTGGTTCCACCTCTTCAATTTTCCCCCGAAATTTTAAAAGCAAACAATGTTAAATTGCCATGTTCTGAAGAAGTCTGCGGGAAAGGACTTGAGCCAGAAGAACCATACAAATTATAACTGAAGGAAGCAAACACCAAACCAAAACAAAGTTTCCACAGTATCTCTTTTCAACTTCCCTGAAAGATGTTTAAAAGTTCTTAAGAGGGTCATTGATGCTCCAAGGTTTTCAAATCTCACTTTGAGCTACAAGTGACCACTCAGTATTTAAAGCAAAGTAACTTTCCTTACACATTTTCTGTATGTTTGCATCTTCCCAGAACAAGAAAGTGGTCAAAGGTTACTGAGCAGTTTTCCATGCAGTTGTTTTTCTCCACCTTTTCCCCTTCCTCTTAAAGGGATTTTTTTTTAAAGCAACCGATGTTATAAATAGAAGAAATCTAATTCTTTCACTGTGGTTCATTATGGGATGGTTCTGCATATGACAAAAACTCGCTGTATCATCAGCATCAGAAACTGCCAAAGATCACTCAGGACTGAAACAGCTAAAACATTAGCCCTGAAGACTAAGGAATGTAAGCAGGATATTGTATACTGCAAATGCCAAACAGCGGGTACCACCATCATGCCTGGCTTTAGGCAAGGCTCCTTTCCTCTCACTCTTGAGTTATAAATCCACACAGATGTTTTGAATGGAAACATCTGTCTACTGACAATGTATCTGGATGTCAGAACCTGCACGCAGCTATGGTGAATGCAGTCACTTCCTCTTCTTGACAATCCCCCAAACCCTTCAGTGATGTTCCATTTAATAAAAGTGGTGTCACTAATAAAGGAATAAATAGCATTTCCTGTTCAGCAGCCAAATCCTTGCTTCTGTTTATCTAGGGAAGATTCTGTAAACAAAACCAACCAAAGACCTAACATAGAAACACCAGATATTCCTTTGTGCTGTTAGTATTACAAACTCATTTTTGGCTTACCATGGATTCACTGATTAAGAGGAGAAGAAGAGCCTCTTCTACGTTGTCTTGAGGGCAGTACGCACTGAAAGACAGAACACATTTTTCTGAGGAAGGTCAAGAAGTATCCTGTCAGTCTCTTTCTCATTTCACAAGAGCAGCAGTAACTTGAAACATCTCATGCATAATTCATTTGCTAGGCAATACCTTCTTTTGCAGGTTCATACAATTAAAAGCTCTGCAATATATCCTACATGAGCTATACTGAACCATAAATAGATTATTTCCATCTCATAGCAAAGACAGCTATTTGGCTGGATTTTCTTCCTTCATGGGGGGGAAAAAAAAAAAAATTTTTTTCAAACACTCAAGGTTTAGTGTTTTATTTTTCCAGCAGGCTTTTTGGTGCAAAGTTAAAAACAAGAACACACAAAACTACTACGTGCATCAAGTGACAGAATTAGCAGTATTGAAGAGTGTTAGAACACTCTCCTTCCTCCTGACAATAAACTGAAATAAAAAAAGAACGCTTACTTCTCTTCTGTATACAGCTCAGGCCTCCGACAAAGAAGATTGCTAACATAAGACTGATCTTCCTTGTTCATGAACTCAGGAAGCGGATCAGATAAAGGGCTCCAGTAACAGTCTTCACTGAGGGAATGGAGAAGTACTTGCGCTAGCTGTTTGGCTGCAGTCTAGAGATCGGGGAACAGTACAGGAAAAAGAGCCATCAGTGAAGCCTTCTCCAGCACAAAAGATTCACCCCTCCCCATATTCCACCTTGGGAAGGAGATGTACCAACAATGCGACAGGACCACTTTTCAGAAAGCTAAAACAGTTGCCAAAAAGTATACAGCAGTGGCAGTTTCTTCACCTTCCCCATCCCCCCACCCCGAAAAGGCCACCCTTCTGCATTTACATGGTCTTGTTGCAATGCTGTAGGAAAAAAGCATCCAAAAGGCCTGACAGCAAAGGACGCTTTGGTGAATGAAGACAACTGATTGCCACGTGGACCGCTGAGACAAACTCACAAATGTTATTAGAGTATGATGGCACTCCACTGCTTTCTCAGCCTTGGAATTTTGTATGCAAGTCTCAGCCCAGAGGCTACTTCTGTATTAGGTTTAAGAGATCAACCCTTTATCTGTTAATATCACTCTTCCTGCAGCCTTTTATAGCTTCATCTCAGTATTGCTGCTCTCTTTTTGTTGCAGTAATGGAGGGAGGAGAGAAGAGAGTTAGGAACTTTATATTGAGTCAGCAACATCACATGCACTTTTTTAACCATCAAGTGGCCAAGGTTCCTTAAATACTTGCGTTCCAGTTCATAGCATGGCTGGCAAGCTGTGCCCAAAAGCAGGCAAGCTCACTTGACTTTGCAAAACTATCTTTGGCATTTGTCCTTGTCCCCCACCCAAAAAAAAAAAAAAAAAAAATCTACTTTTTGCATTGTAAATAGATGAACATGCAAACAAGCCCAGAGACATGAAAATGGGTGGTATCTTCTGTGAATTTTAAGCAGCATAGCTCTCTGAGTTGTAGAGTAAATACTGCCCAGAACCGAGGCAGGCTGAAACTTCAGCCCTTCTGTCCTAATACCTGTAAGTATTATTTTGGAACTTCTCTGACTCCTGTATATGTATTTTATATACAATTTACACTTTGAGATGTGTTATGAGGCCACAAAGAGTAATTTTCTTTCAAATGCCAGGATAGCTATGATTGATAAACTGAAGCATTACTCCATTTGAGGTATGACATCTATAGGACCAAATAAACCATACTGAGGTTACAGTTCCTGTTACCAGATTCAGAAAAATAACTTATTTTGATGCAAGGTTCTTTATTTTTATCCACCTCACCACACATAAATTCATTGAATTAGTCTAAAATACAACCACAGTAGCATGCACTGTTTCTTAAACACCAGAAAGGGAGGTTTCATAGATGTACCTAGCAAATGGCAAAGTGATCTGAATGTATTGACGGTGCCTCAAAGAAATATTCTCACATACAACTCCCTGGAAACTCCAAGACCTTCCATGCACTCCTACTGACAAGTTACAGAAAGCCTTCTGTTTCTAACTAGGCTTTTCTATGCTTTTTATAGCAAATAACCATGAGCAAAATGGCCTAGGGGTCTGTGACATTAGCCGGTATCATTTTATCATCTCAGTGTGTAATTACTTAGTCAGTTTTACCCTGAGGAGTCAACTCTCCTATATTTTTTCCTACAGTCTTAGCAGGGAGGGAAAAATAATATGCCAGCAACAGAAAGATCTCTACTGGTTCACACAGAAGTAGGAGTGCAGTTTGTGATAAGCCTTTCAAAAGGCAAGCACCAAATACTTTTAGTATCTTTGATTTTAACATACAGTACAGTAGCTGTGTAAATTAGCTTCACTCTTGTTTTGAATAAGACCAAACCAGAACAGGCCAAGACTCTGATTCATGTTATTACTGCCTTTGGCTAAAAAAAAAGCATCATTATGCTTGAAGAACACTGTGATCTCACAAATTGGGGGGAAAAAAAAAAATCATGTGTTTTACTTTCATGCTTGAAAAACTTGTTTAATTAAGCACATTCCTCCCTTTGCCCTCTTGACAGCTCTTTAAAAATAAGTAAGAAAATGAAAATGCAACTTCCAGTAAAATGGAAATCCCAGGAAAAACCTATTGGATGAACACCTTCAGATTTCCCCTTAGGGATAAATCCCCCAGGAGTGCTGTACAGCTTTCCCCAGCTGCACAGAGACAGAAGCATTCGAGTGCCATGTTCTGTCATGGTACAGGAAGAGCAGATGGTTAGACTCAAATGATAAAACAGGTGAGCAAGAAAAATCCCCTGAACCCTGATCTCAATCTGGAAAAGGATGCAACCATTTGAGCGTGACAATTATTTAAGTCACCTCTTCTAATTCCCTGCAGAAACTTCCACATGCATCTGTATTCTCAATTAGGCATATAAGGTGAGCACAAGGCAATGAGAAGATTCATTTCCAGAAGAGAAGCTCCAAAATACAAACATATGAGGAACCTAGGCAAAAAAAGCACCCAGGACACCCCTTCTGCTCGCACTTTTGTTTTAGCTCTGCATTTGCATGTGAGTTATGCACACAGTCAGTCCATCCACTGGAACCTGGACCCTCCATCTCCAAAACGCTATGCAAAAACCCATGCTATGCTCACCTCCCTTACCACACTTATCTGTAATTACACAAAACACAAAGCTGAACAAAGCACAAAACAAGGTTAATCATAACAACATCAATGCTTTTAGGGATGCAAAGTTTTCATTCATGAACTCAAGACTGCTATTCTCCCTGCTGTCAACCTTGTTACCTCCCGAGTAACTTCAAGACAAGATCTCTTAAAGGGGAGACAGGGAAGAACTAGTTAAAGGTCTAAGAAGTTAAACAGGCACCTAAATAACTTTCTCCATGATTTCTTTACCAGAGGCACTCAAGATAACAGGATGCAGAATGCCAACATTAAAAAAAAAATTGTAAATTTAAAATCACTCTGTACTGTATTGAAGGGAGTTTTACAGGAAGAACACTGAAGCATTTGAGTCTAAAAAAAGCACTGCTGGTTGCAAGAGCCAGAAGTACTTAATGCTTCTATGTGCAAATGCAAAAAGGTGTGCATACACTGAAAAGCAAGAAAGAAAACAAGACAAGACATTTTCACTTGAGGACAGCACTGTCAAATTAAATACATCCTCGTTTCTACCAGGACAAGAAAACCCACTGGAAAAAAAAAAAAAAACCAAACAAAAAACAAACCCAAAACCCAAAGATAACCCACACCCCCAGGTCTGAATGGTCTGAGGTTTCAATTGGGCAGGTCTTTGAATTAAGTGCATCACTTGACACATCACTTCAAAAGTTTAAAAAAAAAAAAAAAGGCAGCAATCAATCAACTGAGGACATTTTTGTCCTGCTGCACTGGTTAATAAACAGAGAGAATTCCTGCATAGTAGATTACCCCACCTTCCAATCTCCCATTCATTCTCCTTACCATTTTGAAGGTCTGAGTAGCTTTTGTTTCCACAGTCCGTAGTATTTCTCGCAGACTCCTCACTCCTTTCACAATATTTCTATGGGGAAGGCAGGAAAAAAAACCCACCCATCGTAAAAAACCAGCACATTGGAGACAAAATATTTTTATGATGTACCAAAGCTTGGCGACAAAATTGACATTCAAACAAATGCATGAAATAGTCACTAATATTGAGTGCGCACTAGCGAGACAAATCCCTCTGAGGCGCAGATAGGACAATGGCACCGAGCGAGGCAGCAACTGTAGCATGCCTACTCCAGATGGCTTCCTAGGCGAAGATCGCATTCACATTTGACGAACAGAGGGGACATTTGGAAGCCTTTCATAGCTCGTATTTATAAAGCAGATGCTTCTTCTTACAAGCATCCACATCTCCTCTTCATATATACAGATTGTACTTGTTTGAATTATACTGAGCTTATGCGATGCTTTTAAATGACAATTCCTTTTAGGTGGTGCTTCAACACCTTGTGCCTGATGGTCCAGACACATGATGAAATTACAGTGGTTTAAACAGTTTATTATCAGGCAGCTAAGTTGCAGTAACTGTCTGCAAGCATGTTTAACCTGCAATAAAAGAGGGTTAGGTTTAAAAAAAAAAATTTAAATCACATTACTCTGCATACACCATGAGCAATTAAAGCAGACTAGTTGTCAAACGGTATCTTAATCATGTGTCTGAGCACTAAGAGAGATGCGGAGAGGGAAGATTAAACACTGGACACACTAGTTAACACACTTGCAGCCTGTAATCTCTTCAAGGCTAAGGACATGGCCATACAACCACAGTAACTACAAACTGGTTCATCTCACTTCATTGCAGGGTAGAAGCTACCCAAAGAAATCCAAGCTATCAGAAAAGGAGCAATGCTCTACTGAAATAAAGACAACCAGATAAGCAGTTGTAGTGGTACATTAACTGCCACTTCAGCTTATTCCAGGAGAATTTTCTGTGCAGGCAAAACCTAGATTTCATTAGAAAAAGCCATAACAACCTTTTCTGTCAATCTGATTAAATTTTGAAGGCAAGCAGTACAGACTGTGCTTGTGCCCACTCTCATGCACTGCAAGCCTTCTTGCACTCCAGAATCAATGACAAACATCTGAAGAAATAAAAAAAGTAATTATTTTGGGGAAGGGGGTAGTCGATCATGTTTACCACGAATATTCGCTACGTAAAATGCCACCCTTAAAGTTTCTGGTCACCAAGTCACAGAATGCAAATGAATGTGGCCTTACTTCCAATCAATGCTTATCTCAAGATTTTAAACTTTGAGCTAATTTGTGGATTATGTAGTTATGGGCAATCTACAGACAAGCAACAAAGCAAAGCAAGAGCAAAAACACTGGAGACTTGCCCCTGTGGAGAAAGTCAGATGCTGTCTTTTTCTCCTACGTAAAAGATGTGCTTTGAATTTATCACAGGAAAAAAGCTCAAAGAAGTTTTTGTAAGCTGCACTTTAATGCTTCAGCAAGTTCTCCAATTATAAAGCCAAGGCATCTAGTGCTTTTCTGTGGGTCTAGCAAAGACTATACCCACAAAGATGCGCTTCTGGACCTTAAATTGAGGAAAGCAATAAAGCACGTGGTGATCATTATGCATGAGTAGTCGCACCAAACCCAACAGAATTGTTCACATGCTATTTATTATCAGAGAGCCAAAAAATCAGTAAGTTTCCCCATCTAAACAAAATGCACCTGCCCAACTGCTCTTCTCAGTTACTGAAAACTACTGGCATTTCTTGTGCTTCCTTGGGATCCTTAAGAGGCTGGACAGAAGAGTTATGTTGTATAACGATTCTACAACATTTTCAAAAATGTGTATGTTTACACTTCTTGTTAGGATAATGGTATTTGTCTTAATAAAGTATCAATGAATTCCATTAACTAGCAACAGAAAGAAGATTAGTGACCATGTGCAAAGGCAATTAATTCCACATTTGGCACATACTTAAGAGAGAAAAAAACCTAGAGAACGTGCTAAAAAGAGACAGTTTTCTTCCCAGAGAACTAGAGCAACATTTCAGTTCCACTTTTTAGACAAGGTCATAAACCAAGTTAAGCTTCATGGCAGAAACACCTTGTTCTGGGGGGAAGGGGAAAGGAAAAGGAAGGAATGAGTATTGACACACTGAAGTGAATGAAAGAATAAATGGCAAATTGCTGCCCATTTGCAAGCAGTCAGGGTTGAAACCACGAGCTGCACAACAAACGCCTGGGAACACCTTCAACTGAAGGTAGGAGCACAAATAGTATGGGAGAAGCACCTAGCACCCACCACCTCCCAGACAAGTGCTTGTGTGGTCAGGGTCTCTCAGAGAGCACCTGCTCCGGGCTCTGTCTGAAACATGCAAAGCGTCTGACAACAATACCAGTTCTACAGGACTGAGGATTTGGTTTGGCAGCTTTTATATTTTGAACTTTATCGAACATTATTGAGCTGTGACAGGTGACAGAGCACACCTGCCAGCAGTCTGCAAACATACCTCACCACAGGAGTTTGTCTTTCCACTCTACTGTTCCAAGCCAGGAGGCCATCTGACCACACATTTCATTTTAAGCGCATGAATTGCTCTACTCATAACAATAAGGAACTTACTGTTCCATTAACGCATGCACTTGAAGAGATTTTTTTAAATTAGGACCTGAAGAAGTTAACAAATAGAAAAGTACGTGCTTGAACACAAATACGTGTATGTAGATAAGTGGATGAGGATACAAAGAAAAAGCCTCTGGCAATCCATGGTGAATCCACTTGATCTTGTCTAGATCAGAAACTAAGCAATCTTGAGCCTCTGTAGGACTTGGATAGAAGACTATCTGGAAATCCCAGGTACTGTTGCCTCAAGCCACGGCACTGTAAGTGAACATCAGATCATGGAAATTAAATGAGTTGGAAGAGTCCATAGGCCCCCACAGCACTGCTAAAATGCCAGAGAAAGAAATGAGAAAGAACAGGAAGGGAAAAGCACATGATCATTAAACTCGTTAAAAAAAAAAAAAAAGAGGGTAGATTTAGATGAGATATTAGGAAGAAATTCTTTACTGTGAGGGTGGTGAGGCACTTTCTTCCTAATATGTAATCTATATATGTAATCCAAATCTACCCTCTTTCAGCTTAAAACCATTACCCCTCACCCTATTACTATATGCCCTTGCAAAAAGTTCCTCTCCAGCTTTCTGGAACAGATCACCTTGAGATGACTGCACAGCAGTTTGCAGAACCACCTCTCCAGGGGAAAGCTGTACCTGAAGGCAGACAAACAGCAGCAACACCATTGCCTCTGCCCAGCTCCTTTTGTATCTTTGCATTTCACCCAGGTTTCTAAAAATTCATACTTTCTCCTTAAACAGCTGTTCATGCACAGGAACAAAACACACCTGAAGAAGTAAGCCTTAGATTCTCAGACTCCTATGAAAGGAGATACGAGACAAGTAACTACAGCAAAGCACATTAAAGTCTCCTAACGACAGCCTAAGAGAAGTCGGGTGCTGAAAAAAAAAAGAAACCGAAATCAAACCCAAAAAACCCCAATACAAAACAAAAGCTTAGCACTTATCTAGATCCGTCCAGTAGGCAGTAAGCCTCACTCCCAAATTACCAGCTGTACTCTCCTGGTGTCCTGGGTGAAGTGCTAGATTGGAAAGACTGAAGAGGAGATAAATGACAAGAAAGCCCACATAAATTTCTCAGATAAGATGAATACTCTGGCAGAGACTGTCCTACCTACCTCTGCCCATTAGATTCTACTGTAAAAAAAGACACACGTGAAGTTACTCTTTCAAAGTGCCCTTGCAACAGAAGCCTGCAAAGTTTCAAAAGGGAACTGAGCACTCTAGAAAACTGACAGAAGGGAAGAGAAACAATTGTGTAAGTTTTCCCTACTAGGCATTTTCATCAGGGTTTTCCAAAGTAATTTAGGTCCTAACTTGAGGGATCATAACGAAATCTGATTTCTAATAAGTGCTTAATATTTATTTTTCAGAAATTAATTTTCTTCAAAAGTTTCCCACCTACAGCTTCCAAAACCAACCACATCCTCTTGAAAGCTGACTTTGTCTTGCCTGTGAAACTCCACACATACTTCAAATGCCATTAAGAAAGCAGCATACATATAACCACTACTTCACACGAGTGAAGCCTGTTTGCCCTTAGAAAATACTAAGACTATCTCGACCAAAGCCCCTGTAACAGTATAAAGTAGTAATACCTGTTCAATACTCTGAAAGGAAAGGCAGTAAGGAATGAGCCTAATCTTCACACATCCACATCAGGAAAAAAACCCAGAAAAGCCAGTGCAGATGCTAACATGAAAGACAACTGGCTGCCTCCTACAGTACGATAGCATCTGCCTGCCTATATTCTGCATCCACAGCATCAACGTTGCTCAACCTTTTTCAGGTGCAGCAGGCCAAACAACCACAGGAAACGTGCCTTCAGCAACACAGTATTTTTAAGTAAACATCTTATTAAAAGCATCTGGGACTTCCACAGCTGCAAGACTTGCTGGTCCTTACAGCTGACAGCTCAACATCTGAAAGGGAGACTGGACCTTTGTTTTGTACTGGTGCCTCCTTTCCTCTGCACACTGCAAGAGAAAAGGGCATCCCTGACCACGCTCCGAAAGAAATATGCCTGTTCCTGCCAGCAGGAACAAAAGTACAACACCACCACTCATATCCCTCAGCTCTTCTGCCTAGCAAGGCAAGAATAAAGCACTCACTGTTTCTTTTGTACACGTGTGCTGCTGGGGAAGGACATCCCACCAGAAAGGACCTACTCTCCCCCTTGCCAGCTTGAGCATTCATCATCCAAGGCTTATTTCCTACCTGAACATGCTAGAAGCAATAAGGAGAACAAAAGCATTTCTTTGAGCTGTTCAATATCAGGTGGAGAAATTTATTATACAAATGACGCATCCTAAAAAGCTTCTTCCCACTTCCCTCCTTTTTCCGTAATATATCCCAATGCTGCTTATGCCCTCTCGTGGCAGAAACCACACATTAATCCCGGCGGGGGCGGGGGGGGGAGCAGAGACAAGCTGTGGAGTCCCACAGGACCTTTCATTTCCCTGGCTGGTGTTTCTCACTTGCACTGCAGGAGGGGAGGAGCGCACGGGGCTCCGCTCCCGTCCCAGCCACGGGACCTCCATCGCACCAACTGGGATGCTCTTTCATCAGGAGACAGCCACAGAGAACATTTCGCTGCTACTGCAGCGATTCAGCTTATTATCAAAGCGCTGCTTAATTCACACATGTATTTTGATTCCTAATTGTTTTCCTGTAGGGTTTTTTGTGGTTGGATTTGTGGTAGTTTGGGGTTTTTTATTGTGGTTTTGGGTTTGGGGTTTTTTTTAAGGCTGTCATTAAAATAACGTGGGAAGGGAGCAAGCAGAGCCCACAGTAATAGCTAAAATAACCCCCTGGATATATTGAATTGATGAAGACTGAATTTAAAACGTTGCTGAATAAAACGAACGTGAGTGAGTGTGATATTCAAAAAGTGCCTAGAGGACATCAGTGCCATATGTTCTAAATGAGATTTTATTTTATTACATAGTTAATGAGCTTACTGTCAAGACCTGAGCTTTTTGTTCTCCATGAGAATGGCAAAAGGCTAGGAAAGCACATGCTGTACCACAGCTGGTCAACCACTACCTCACCTGGGAAAACCACATACCTGTCCCCTGCTGACGAGATGATACTGAGACTACGCCTCATACTTATACGTCCATACTTTCTTTACACATGAACTTGTACTCACTGGACTAAAGGGGTCATTTTACAATATTTGGGCTTTGTGTATTTGTAAGCCTTTGGGTTAAACAAGGCTTACCTGAAGGCACCCCTCATGGATATGCTTACAAGTACAGCTTCACTGTACGTGCAGGCTTTTAATGAAAGAATGTGGAACACAGAGGCTATTCACAGTTGCATTTAAAGTCATTCTTGGGGGATGAAAAACTAGCAAAAAAGCCTTAAACAAGAACCTCTCCTCCAAAGTAAAAAAAATGCTATCAATTTTCTACAGAAGAATTTAAATTGATTTTTGCTGGGATTCTTTTTTTCTAGTTTTCTTCCTCTCAATCTCCCCTCATTTGTTGCTTTCTTCTCCATCTTACTCAGCAGGAAGAGTG